TTGAAGCATAGTTGGTTTACAATGCTGGGTCAGTTTCTGGCTGTACAGCAGTGATTCAGTTATACGTACGTATGTTCCTTTTCATGTTCTTTATAGGTTATTATAAGCTACTGAATATAGCTCCGTGGGCTACACAGTCGGACCTTGTGGTTTATCGGTTTGCTTTTTCTAACGGACTAGAGGTGGAAGGAGCACTGCGCCTTCTGGGTTTTGCTCTGGCGCCAGCTCCCGTTTGCCTCGTGGCCCGTGGGTGTGGCCTGCCCTCCCTGGGTGTGGGCCTGCTCCTCCCCTCGCAGCTGCGCTGAGCGTCTGCAAGGAGCGCTACCCTGAGTGTATATGATACAGGACTTCATTTCACTACATTTTTCCGAGTTGACCATTACTCCAGAAAATGGTCTTTCAGACTCGGTTTAACACGCTCTCTTCAAGCCTGTTAAGTCCCGCTTTTGAATGGCTTTAATCCTGAGAAAGCACCTCATCTTGAGCCATAATCTGCTTGCTTCTCTGGGGTGTGTCTGCTGGTCTGACTCCAGCTCTGAAGCCGCCACGCAGGCTGCTGTCTTCCCTCGTCCACACGCTCTTCAGGACTCAGCGTGGATGCCGCGTGGGGGACGAGTTGGTCCCCGCAGCTGTTCCTCGTGCTGCGACCCTGTGTCAGCCGCCGCGTTGTAACCCTGGGAGCTCCCAGAGCCGGCTACCGGGACAGCACGCGCGGGGTGGGCGGTGCCTCTGCTGGGCCACGTGCTGCGGCTTGGGTCAGTTCTGCCTCGTCCGGGGCACTGGGCCCGGGCCCTCCCGGGCCGCCGCTCCCCTCCTGTGCGCCCAGGCTCTCCTTTGAACTCGGTGATAGCCCTTACCTTTCTCCTTATCAGATGCTGTCAGCCACACCGGCTGCGCATCTGGGGGTACCCGCTCCTGACAAGGCTTCTGTTGCAGGGCTTCTCCGTGTACCCAGTATGTCTGAAAAATATCCTGTTTCTCTCTAGATGCTTGGAGAGTGCCATTGAAAGTGTCACCAGAGCTGCTGATGGTACGTCAAGCTAACCTTAACTTGGGCTGTTACTGCATCCTGAAGGTGCAGCAGGAGTATACCTATATTTGTGACTTAGAAGCTCTTCCAGTAATTTGTCGTCATAACAGATTAAGGCTTTACCTTCCCACTGAGGTGTCTGTATATACCCTGTGTCTTGTTCTCTCTTAACTGATGTTGTCAGATCTTCATGTTTATACGTATTAGGAACATTATTTATTTGCTTCAGAGAGCTCTGTGACTGCTGACAGAACTGAAGAGGAGAACAAAATAAGACACCTGTCATCACAGGGTTAGAGGCAGGGCCGGAGGCGCTGGTGCCTCAGGAGGGCTGCACCTGCATCTCCTCCCAGGGAGGCGCGGCCCGCTGCTGCCTCACGTCCTGGGTGCGGCTGCTCCGCGTGGGCTGAGGGCTCTGATGCGACACTTCCAGGACGGGCCCTTCTGGACGTTCCAGGGCTAGAGGTGCTTCCGGAGCAGGGCTGCCTTTCAAGGGGGTGGGGGTGAGGATGCAATCCCCTCTCCGGCTGAGAGGGCGTTGCTTCAGAAAGTAAAGTCGTGTGTGTGGACGGTCCGTGGTCAGGATGTGGGGGAGCAGGGAGCAGCAGCTGCACGGAGAGGCTGGCCGAGGGAGGCCCTGGGGGCTCCCGCTGGTCCCAGGAACATGGGCGCCGCATCTGGGGGACCAAGTGGCCCCCAACGCCCTGCCCTCCGTGGTGCCATGACCTGATTGCGCTTAACCCTCACAGGTGAAATTTCATTTAAGGAATAGCCTTTTTTTCTTTAGGGGATATAAATGAGTATGTTTTCCAAGTTCCAACTTGGGACTCAAAAGATAAAATCATTGAAATGAAAAGTGTTCTGAAAAGTTCAGGGTTGAGGATAGAATCTGTAACAAGAACTGAGAGGGGGAGGGGTCGAAGAATTTTAAGAACTGCTGGGTCTGGGGAGAGCAGAGGGCACCACTGCCTGGAGGGCTGCCGTGGAAGGCGGCCTTGGCGCCCGGCTCCCGCCCAGAGGGCTGCCCAGGCAGACGCTGGTTTTGACGTGGAGAGCTGCTTTACGCGAGGTTGATACTGGCATGTGCCTGTCTCTTGATGCTACCGTGTTACCTGGGAGATGGATTAAAGTAAATAATATCTTAATTACAGGGCGTAAGGCTGCCTCCCAAACTGAAACAGAATGAAATAACTAACATCCAGCCTTCTTCCAAAAGAGCCAGGTATGAAGAAGCACCTTACTTTTTTCTGTGGTTGGTGACCTTTTACAGATTTGTTTTAGAAAATGGTAGCAGTTGGGAGAGTGTCTATAATTTTCACATAAGTAGGTTTGGAAAGATTTGCTGATCACATCAGCCCTCTATTGTGACGTCTCATTTTGTTGCCAGAGATAAATGGGGAGTAGTGTTTTTCTTCCCTGAGGGGGAGGGCATAGCTCAGTGGTAGAGCGCATGCTTAGCACGCGTGAGGCCCTGGGTTCAATTCCCAGTACCTCCATTAAATAAATTAACCAATAAACCCAATGATCTCCCCCCCAAAATAAAAGTTGTCTTTGCCCAAAGCTGCACCAGCACCCCTAGTGTGCAAGACACGAGCTGCTGTGTGGAATGCCCCCTCGGACTGCAACTTCATTGTGCCCTTGAGGTCTGTGTCCTGACCCTTGATGGGAGGGTGACACAGCAGGACCAGGTGGGAGGGGTGGAGACCCCTCCGCAGGCCCCTGGGTTGGGCATGGGCGCGCAGACTGTCCCGGTCTCAGCTGGTAGAGACAGGCTGGCGGGCTACTTAGGAGGGCGTGGCCCGGGCAGCCCTGGTGCTGGGGAGCATCGTCTGCTGCAGCTGCCAGTGTCTTCACCTTTTTCCTTCCCTATGAATTACTGGATATTTTAGTAAAAGCCTAATTGTGTGATTATATATTTTAAAGACTGCCATCAAAGTGCCACAAACAAAAATTTTTTAATAGACTGTCTCAAATATAAGCTAAGACAGCTTATATTTGAAATTCAAGGAAATCCTTGATCCTTGGATTTGAAATTTAAGGAAATGTAAAAAGACTGAGAGGTTCAATTTAAAACGTGTGGTTGAGTCCGTGCCTCCTGGCAGCAGACGGGGCGGGCGGAAGACAAGCTGGGAGCAGGAAGACGTGGACTCTGGTGTTAGAACCATGAGCTAGAGGCCTGGGGCGGGGACCGACGAGGAAGTGGGGACTCTGCATCTCAACCATTAGGTGAGGGGCTGCTTCCCTTGGAGGCGCCACAGTCCTTCAGGGGTGACGGTGGGAAAATGGTGGAAAGGGCAGGGCAGGCAAGTCACGGCCCATGAAGGAAAGAAACCACACACACTGAAAGCTGTTAAAGCTGGTTAAGTCCCTATTTTCTAAAGAACACTTTTACTGTTACAATGAAATCACCATTCTGTGTATTTTTATTTTATAGAATTGAAGATATACCACCACCCACCAAAAAGTTAACACCAGAATTGACCCCTTTTGTGCTTTTCACTGGATTTGAGCCTGTTCAAGTTCAACAGTATATTAAGGTAACATTTTACTTTATTTCGCATGATGATTTCTGCTTACATTTGCTTTCGGCCAGCAGTTTTATTAAACCAACATTTAATCAGGAATAACTTATACCAGTGTTTATAATGTGTATTTATAAACTGTTTGTAATAGTGTTTAAAGTCATTAAATCAGTGACTTCCCACTTACTTTTAGTAGAAAAGGGGTTCAGGTGAGTAGACCAAGAGCATTTTTATAATCGTGTGAGCGTCTGCAAGGCTGCGGCAACATCATTCTCAAACACATGCACGCAGCAGCCGCGGCTTCAGGTTCCGAGTCCGCGGTCTTCTCGAGGTTGGTTTTCTTGGGAAGGACAGGCCAGTGCCAGAGAGCTGGATTTGTGTATTTAGATAATACACTTCTTGAAATAACAGTATGAGGGCTTATGGGATTTTGTTTTGTTATTTTGGGGAGGGGAGGTTGTTGATTAAGAGTATAAATTGACCTGTATCACGTTGGATTCATACATTTTACTTTTTTTTAAAGAAAAACAATTATAAACGCCATTATGAATTTAGTACAATTTTTTACCTTTAAAATTGAGTAGTTATTAAGACCATCCTTTATAGTCATCTTAGTCAATTTTTATGTCATTTTTTAAAATAGAGACTATCTTAATGTGCCTCACTGACACTCACTTCAGCTTTAAGTCTGGGCACGTTTGTTCCCTACGTCTGCTGCACCGTCCTCGGGGCGTTTTACTTATTCACAGGAAGGCCTTAGTGGTGTCCAACAGTGAGTTCAGCCTTTAACCTTGAGTTGTTGCAGGGCGCCAATCATAGAAACATACACTGGAAGTTCTAGTTTCTGCTTCTCTCCTGTGGTGGCGGAGGCTTGGTCTGGCCTTACCAGCTGCACCACTTTCCACGGCTAGGAACGCTCCGTAACCTTAGCTTCCTCAGAGCCACGCCTGTGGCTCTGCAGACTTAGCTCTCACCTGTGTCCATGACCTCCAGAAGCTCTACATCCTTGGCGGGGAGGTCGCCGAGTCTGCGCAGAAGTGCACCCACCTCATTGCCAGCAAGGTGACACGCACGGTGAAGTTCCTGACGGCTGTGTCCGTGGTGAAGCACATCGTGACTCCGGAGTGGCTGGAGGAGTGCTTCCGGTGCCAGAAGTTCATTGGTGAGTCGCAGCAGCGGGCCCTCAACGAGTTTATCTCCACCTTCATCCCAGCAAACATCTAGCTCGTTTCTTAACTCACGGTTGTCCATTTAAATTTGTAAGTTTATTCCATGTCCCAGTGAGACATTGGCTGGGTAGCTCTGCGTATTAGGCTGTGGTGGTTTGGATGGTGTCAGTAGGAAAGTAAGCTCTGGGCCCCTGCTTTGTCGTGTCCTGATCACTGTACTTGGTTTGGAAACGTGGCTGTTGAATGAGGTTCCACCTGCAGTACAGCAGACAGGAAAGTGAGGGGAGGCCAGGAGTGTCCTGTGAACATCAGGTGGGGGGACAGGGTGTGACCCCCGCTGCGCAGAGCACCAGACGTGAACCCCCTTTGCTGGCACTGACACTTGGTATGGAGTGTTCTCGGAGCCTCGCTAGTGAAGCAGCGCAGAGTATAAATCCAGTGGCGTCTCTCCCCGTGGAGGCGCTCCAGTGGGACGGACCTGCAGCCCCGTCGGCTCGAGCAGCAGCGGGGGCTTCCTCGACGTGCAGGCGCGGGTGCCGTCAGGACAGAACCCCTAAGCCCACCCCACGTCCTCAGCCCCCGTCTGGCTGGAGCAGAGGCGGCGTGTGGCCCGGGAACGAGCTTCACTTCAGTGCCAGTGTTGTTTCTCGTTTTGGGTATTTACACCCCAGTCAGAGGGCACTGAACCCTAACCACCACCACCCCCCCCCGTCCCCGTCACGGCACAGGGCGCGCACCCCCAGCTGTGCTGCCGTGCTTGGCCCTGTGCTCTGCTCGCGCCTTCTCACACCCCACCCTTTAGGTAGTGGAATGAACACAGCTGCCCAAGGACAGGCAGGCGGCATGGTCAGGGGACCCACGGAGACGTCAGGGGCACACCCTGTCCCCATGGGCCCTGTGCTCTTCTGACTGAACTAACTCCTCACTACTCGTGAGGACAAGGCATGGGTGAGTTAACGTATTTTACATCTGTGTCTTCTTGGCCTTTGGTATCTTTAGTGTTAATAAAAGTACACATTTTAAAGTTCAAAGGTCATGTAGTCTAATCTTACAAATGAGGAATTAAGACTTAGAAAAAGATTTTGAAGTTTACTATTTGTAGCAAAGTTAGAACCAAATTTAAAATTCCCTGATAGTACAACCTAGGAAAGAATAAATCATCAATATGAAAATCAATACGAAAAAAACTAAATCCGAGGACTTCAGTCAAGATGGCAGAGTGGTAGGACCATGAGCTCACCTCTCCCCATGACAACCACCAAACCACAACTGCATGCTAAGCAGCCATTGGGAAAAAAGAGAAACCTAGCAAAAAAGATCTTCAGCTGGAGACATGAGAAAGGGAACCACAGCAGGACAGCACGAGGGGCGTGCCCACAGTATGATCAGGCCCATTCCGCCCAGGGGGGCGGCCCACGAGCTGAAGAACAATTAAGTCGCAGAGGCCCTCCCACAGGAGGGAGTTCTGAGCCCCACGTCAGGCTCCCCAGCCCGGGTCCTGGCACTGGGAGAAGGAGACCGCAGGACATCTGGTTTTGAAGGCCAGCAGGGCTCAGCTCCAGGAGCCCCAGGGACTGGGGG